ACCAGATTCAATTGTCGAATGTGAAATAATTAGTGATTAAAATGTTATAAATGTATAATTAATGTCATAATTGCAATAAAAATGTTCAATTTTAAGGGAATAAAATACGTTAATTTTTTCCCCATAGTAAGTAAAATGACAAGTATATTACGTGCATTTTTGTATTTTACAATGTAAATTACATGGCCTCAAAAAAATCCTTGTAATTTACCAACCTTATATACAGTACTGTACTCATGTGTTTTAAAAATATTTTCAATTCAGTTTTTATGCAGAAAATATTTTGAATTGGAAATTGTTTTGAGTTAAAAGCACTGTTACCCGGGTTTACAACTACTGTATACATTATATACAAGTTATTGATAACCAGTAATAGAAAAACAAGAAAAAGATTTATGTTTAAAATTAACATAACATACCTTTTATTGGAGACTAATTGCTATTAGAAATTAATATTAATTCTGAACACAATTTACATTTGAAGGCAAACTTCAGATTCATAAATATTTATACCGTATTATTTATTAAACACTTTTAGAGTCGTTAAATATGATATAAAACGGCATATCATAAGCAAATATCACATATTAAGGTACATTTTAATAAATTTAGTCAAAAAATATCCTATCATAAAAACGCTTTGAAAATTTATGTTTTTTAAACATTACAGTTACTGTTTAAAAAAATATTATTTCAATAATCACAAGACATACAAGTATACGTGTATAGTATGTGACAATAAATTCTAATCCATATTTCCTAAACATCTGTCTCTAAATTACTTTTTTTGTTTCAAAAGTTACAATAGTTATAAAAATATAATAGTTTGATATTTGTTCATGTTGATTGCATTGAAATTAAGGTAAATATCTTATAACATGTTTTATATTTCTTGTGATACTTCTCTAATTATAGCAGAAATTTGATTCTCATTAGTATTTCAATACATTTGTGTTAAATACAAATAAATATACAAATATTTAGGAATTGTGTTTCATTTGTATTTCTCACCCCTTCTGTTAATTATAACAGTTTTTGCAAAACAATTGTACGCTTAACTGCTGTCAACAATAAGAATGGTCAAATTACATTTACCAATATAATTGTTTAAATATTTCGAGAGGTGGGGAGGGGTTGGGATTACCTAGATAGTATTAACAATAATTTACAAAACCATAAATTGTAATTCAAAACAATAGCAACAAATAAGTAATGGGAAAAAACTACAATTTATTGATTACATGTAAAATCATATCTAAATTATAATAACTATAATTAATGTATAAAATGTATTCAAAAAACAGACTAACATTTAGATTAATAAATGTATTAATAGTTAGCAAACAATCCAAGTGTCAAACGATTGAAAGCCAGACACCGATTGTCATCACTTCTGGAGGCGAAGAAGTGGTGTCACTATTGTTGCTGTTGTTGTCTCTCATTCTGAAGAAGTTGGATCTCTTGGAAGCGTTGACTGATTCGTTGATTCATTTTGAGAAATTTGTCGAAACAATTGTTAGCACACGTCTCCTCTTTGGTGGACACGGATCGGGTGGTCATGTCGTGAACGCAATCCATGAAACAAATTTCAGACAACTTATTGTAATTCAGTATAAAGTCTTTGAATTGTTTCATCTGATCGTTGGTGTTGTCGGCCATTTTCTTACCACCAAATCGGTAACTATTATCTCTTCTTCGGTGATAATATTCTTCAGCGGTTATACAGAAGAGTGAGGTTTAAATCCCAATTAAATGGCAAAACAATGTGTTGTTTCACTCTTTTCAATGGCAAACGAGTTGTCATGTGATTAACGCATGGCTTATAACGAGACCTCAAAACAGTGCTGAAAATGTGAGACAAGT